ATCGAACCCATGACCTCTTATAACCAACGCTGAATTATGGGAAGATTCTCTAGAAAAAAACACTCGCCTCCTTTTTGACATACATACAAACAATAGCCTAAAATTTGACGCAAAAATATGCACAGAAGTTTGTCATTGGACGTGATCTCTTCCGAGAAGTAACAACAGGTCATATATTCCTGCATATTTTCACGACCTGAGGCTATTGTTTTTATTACAATTCGAATGTTTTTACACGAGGCTCAGTTCTACGCTTTTAAACGTTAAAATAAATCTGTCAATGTTGAAATCTGGTTAGTCTGTTCTAAATGTTTGTTCAAATCAATTAAAAAGATCTATCCTGCTGAAAACGCCTGAACATTAATTGCAAATTTCGCAAACTGGGGAATTTCACCAGGGGAATATATACAATTATCATTATACGCCTTTTTTTTTAAAATCAGGAAGTTAACCCCGCTTTTCAGTCGTGTTTAAAATAAAGTAAACTTGGGGTGTATAGTAGAAATCCGTATGTGTACTTTATATCGCTTAGTTGTTTAAAATCACAAAATTAACCTCACTTTTCAGTCATGGTTCAAATTCAGTAACATTGAGATGTACAGTAGAAACCTCCTATCGATTCATCCCCATTTGGATATTACCTCTCAGCGTGACAATGGTAACAAAGGCCTGGCTGTAAACTTGTCATGAGAAAAGTGAGGGGGTGGTCTAATTTTTTAAGCATTTAACGAAACACCTTATAATTTTGGGATATCTTTAGGAGCACGAATTTCGGCAACTTAAATATTTCCTGGTCTCATATATTGTCACGTGACCTGTCAGGGCTATTTATAGCTCAAATTTCTTTTTAGCAAAATGGCACCACTTTTTACAGTATCTAGGAAACTGGCGTTAGTGTTATAGTGTTAAGACTATTATAAGTTTTATTTCTGTGTCTGAGCTTGTTGAGATTTTTTAAAACAAAAGCAGAAAATAAGAATTTACTTTCATTGGGGGACTGGGCACTAGTATAAAAAGCCGTTTATTTTCAAAAATAATGAAAAATTTAACAAAGTCCGAGCAACAATACTTTGTTCATAGCCTTTTGAGCTATCCAGGGGCATTCAAGTTGAATGATTGCTGAAGTACAATGGTGCCATTTTCGCTCAAAGGTTTTTTTGGAAGATTCTGGCCGTCAGAACCTAATAGTCTGAAAAAGGTTCAGGTTGGTGTAGTCAAAGCCTTAGAAGATAGACCACCCCCCTAATTTGTGGGTGCAATAAAGTGAGAGCCTAGTAATGTTTTGAAATTTTAAAGTAAGGGTACGGAAAAAGTCAGCATGTTATGTTAGGAGCCTGGGCACCAATATAATGCCATTTATTTTGGTCTCAAACAAATTTCAATTCAACCAGGGCCAAAAAGCTTAGATTTAACCTTTTGGATTTATGTTGTAGTATTGAAGTCAACCAAGAGTTGATGTATTCTGGTTCCATTTTAATCAAACGTTCTGGCCTGAACTTCTCAAGTACGTGGCACATCAACAAAGTTTGTGATACGGTATTCCATAAACGCTGTGGCTCGTTACGCCCTAAACATGTTTGGTGCTTACTGCTGAATGCAGATTACACCTTCTGATAAAAAACATAAGTTGACATTAAACAGTATTCCGTCTGACAATCCAGTCGCCCTCGAATTCACGATCGCGATAGAATTAAAAGGGCTGGTTTTCGCAGAGGGCGGAAAACCAGTGAACCCTGAGAAAAACCTCAGAACAAGTATGGGAACCATGCAACAACAAATACAACCCACCTATGAAACTGGTTCTGGAATTCAAACCCAGGCTACTTTGGTGGTTGTTGAGTGCTTGCACCACCTTGAATCCCCCACCGATAAAAGAACCATTCTGTATCTTTGTAGCTTTGTCTCCATTATTTAATTCCTGAATTAACTTTTTTAAAACCAAACGGACTTTCAGCTAACCTCCAAGCTTGTCTTTTCTTTTATTGGTATGCTCTTCCGTGCGCTCAGTTACCAGCAGCTTGGAACTTGGCTTGATTGAACTGTTTTGACTATCGTTTAGAGGTGTCACATTTTCATTTAGTACCGCAGCTTCGCTTTCTTTGAAACAAGATGTTGATGAAAATGTAGTTAAGGGGCATCGTAAGTTCAAACACAAAGTACGGTCTCATCACCTCATTAAGCAATCATATAAGAAATATATAAAAAAGGTAATCACTGTTTAGAAAAAGATGTTCTATGTAAAATCTGCCCGAAGTTAGTTAGCGCCACCATTACAAGCCCTTACCATGAGAAGTCGGGTGTATTCTCTTAAAAAAAAGCAATCTTTCGAATCAAATATAGAGTGCTTATCAAATGCCAAAAGACGTAACAATCAAAGCTAATGTCAATTTTCTTTAATAAACTGTTTACTAATTTACATCAAGTGAAATGTTGTCTCTTTTCCAAGCTACTTATTTATTACCAGTACACTCGAATTTCTGCTACTGATTTCATAACAGGTCTGACCTTGCGTGATTCAGTCTTGAACCAAATACCTTAACATAGCATATGGCATAAACCCGTTTTCCATTTATAAACTGTGATCATCAAAAAGGCGCGTTCAGTACACGAGTACATGTGTTTGTATGGTACTATAAATCTACTATGAATACAGCAGCACCCCAATGAGGGTGCCCATTTAAGCTTTAATTTCATGTTTAGATTTTTTCGATTTTGTGCATTGTTCAATCGTTATAAATCGTAATCAGCTATAACTTTTTTTAGGTAGACACGGTTACAGTAAATTAATAGAATTTTTCTGCGGTTTGGAAATTAGCGGAAAAATATTCTCTCGT